ACTGAAAACTTAACTTTTTGAAAAGAAAAGCAACATATAATCGAATAATGATTATTTTACTCTTATATGTACCTGTTGGAGAGAGTTTCAGTTGCAATCGAACACACATCCGTGCCCTCTTACACACGTATTTCTTTTTTCTCTGACAATGGAAGATCGCGTACAGTAAACTAAGGAGATTGAACATATTCGGGTCAAATGAAAGCTTCCACCGCTAAACTAACAAATTTAAAATATTACGTGCCCATAGCGTACCTAGGGTACGTCACTTAAATTTCAAGGTATGTGAAATTCAGATATTAGAATGAGTCCGAAAAGATTTTCTTCACTATTGTAAGGGCAAAACATAGCGTTGTTCGGTCCGAATTGGGGGTTTGCAGGGGTTCTCTTTCGAATGGCTAGAATAACAGCATGTTTTGTTCTTACAATACTAGAGCCAGTCTTTGTCTAATGCATTTTTATACCTAAATTTTACATACCTTGAAATTTAAGTAACTTACCCTAGGTACACTATGGGCACGTAATATTTTAAATTTGTTAGTTTAGCGATCAGAGCTTTCTTTTGATCCGAACATGGTCAATCCTGTTAACTACCAGTTGGCAACGTTCCATTGTCAGACCTATCTAGCCAGAAATTAAAACCGCAGAAAAAACTCCAGAGAATAAAACTCAAAAACACCTATAAGTGACAAAAGAATATCTATTTTACCATTCACTGCTTCTTCAACACGTAGATGAAGAGTTAATTAGACAAAGCCTTTTTAGATATCACTTAACAAAAAAAAAAACTCAAATTCTATACATAAGTGCGAAGAAGTAATAATAAAATTCCTATTCAATGTACGGTCAATTGCTTGCAATTCTTTTTCAAGTGAACACTACACTCATTATATTAAATGACCGTTGAATTTTTCTTTCGCTCTGTTCTGTCCTCGTGCATTCGTAAACCATCGAACCGAACAATCACGCAACTATAAGCCAATAGCAACGCTTTATCCAGTGATTTACTATACAGTGGATCCTAAGGTTCCAGATGGAAAACTTAAAATCGGAATTTTCATTTTCAAAGTCAGAAAAACTAAAGAACTTTTTAAATATTGGTAAAAAATTGAAAATTGCTTTTTATGAAGGAGTCCACGGTATATTTTTCGTCCAATAAATTGTTTAACTGTGTCTACTCACTGATACGCATTATCTTAAAATGTACTTTACAAATAATTAACAAAGTTAGTATAGATATATATAAAGTTCGCTTCTTATGAAGAGCCCATGAAAGTCGTTTGGTTTGACATTATTTTTTTTCTGAAAAAATCCGAGCAAACTTCACTGAAACAAAAGTAAAAATAATTAACACAATTACATTTCCAGATTTATAAAAAGCTTGCATAAGAAAAATGGGAACAACTTGAAAAAAGAGCGGAAAAAAACTAAAATCCGCCACAAACAACAAAAACAGTAGGAGTACGTTTTCAGTCACGAACCAACGATTCATCAGCTGTGCGGCCATTCATTGGAGATTAAGGGCAATCGTCATCATAGAGCGCGTTTTAAAGCTGATAAGAGGTAGTAATAGCTCATGTTTAAGCATTTTCTACTAGCAGAAACTTTCACGTATAACTGCCCACAACACTTCCTAAATCCACCTCTATTTCATTGCAAAAAATAAATGGCTTTCTAACAGCGTCTAGTGCATGGGTAATAAATAGGGATATCTCAACTTCAATCAAACATTCAACAAAGCCAGAGTATATAAGTCTCGAAAATTGAGCAAAATGATAAAATCGAAAGTACTCATAAAAAATCATAAATTCTGAATTTGTGCTGTAATATCGGAAGACCTGGCATCTATGAATCTCTGTGATACTGAATAATGCACCCAGTTTTTTATTACTACTAGACATTATGATTGAATTAAGTTAGAGCAAGTGATATGCTCCATACTCGATTGTTGATTAGCCAATGCTCAGAGAAATCTAAAGCACATGTTACTCCGGCGTTTATCGCGATGATAAATATTCTTATATACAGTTACAGTAAGTGCAATCAAATATTGTAACGAGTTGTAAAGCCTAAATTTGAGAAAATGACACGGCTTCGCAGTAGTTTATATAAGAAGTTGACAAAGAGCTGATCGTAATCAAAAATCGTGCTTCGAAATTCATCAAATGCGAAATCGACTGTTTTTGGAACATTTTCTGCTCAGAAGAAACAAAAAATACGTCTCAAAGTAAAGTTGATTGGCAATATTAATGTACGTCATGTCAAACTTCTAAATACAAAAAAAATGAGACACATCTCAACGATTTTTTATGAGAATACTTAAATCGCTCTATCAGCTACGTCAAGGGAGCACTTCAAAATGTATTCCGGTCGGTCGCTATTCCTTCATCCCTCCATTCCACTATTTCTTCACTATTCCTCTATTATTGTATTCCTTCGTTTCTCTATATCTTTATTGCAGAACATTTTAATTTGTACTGCTTTTTTCATACAAATTGAACTTCTTTTGATTTAATTTCTTCAAAGATAATTAATCGTTCTCTTTGAAAGTATTATTCATTCATCAAGCTATCCATTGTATATTGAAATCAGAAATGTACGTAATATATAATTACATACATTCTAGTGTGAAACTATTTAGATGTTCATACATAAGAAAATTTTTCTCGTTTAAAATGCAATTGTATTATGTTTTTTCGTGAAGAGTCTAGACTAACTCAAACTACCGATATTTATTAGTCTTTATTTTATTTACACACACATCCTAAAAAGTTAGAAAACAAAAGAGAACTATTAAACGCCGAAAATTATGATGCTTGCAATCGACAACATTTTTTGTTTATGGTATCTTGAAACTTCTTGGTTTGTTTATACTAGGTATATCGCTGTCCATAAATGTTATATATATATATATGTTCATCAATGGTATGAACATGTTATGGACATACTGCTTTTGTTCCGTTAATTTTGCCGTGAATAGAGCTCGCTTTTAATTCTTCATCAGAAAACATTGTGCAAAATAAAAAAAAATAATAAATTATTGAATCTCCTCTCTTCTGATAATAATGCGGCATCTGTGGCATGTTTAGCATGATTGTATATATCAGCATTTATACGTTTTAATGCCATTTCCACTATTGTTTCTTTTGATATTAGCATATCTACTAATTGATTTAATTTCAAAACATTATTATCAATTCGTTCAATATTCGTTAATAATAAATTCATTTTGTTGTTATTTTGATAAATATTGCACTCATCATTAGATGCTACTGATGGTCAATCACAAAATTCAAACGGGTCTTTAGTTATTTCTTGAGACATAGTCCGTGTTAATTATAATAATTTAACAATTTTTAAGAAGTATAATAGTGAATAGACGTTTAATACGAAAACTGAAAAGTATCAGAGAAAATATGTAATGTAGATGATTGTGAAATCTCCGGAAAATATTCTAGATTAAATATAGTTCTAGAGGTCAAGAGAAAATTGAGAGTCATTTTTTCGGGAAAATTCACTCTTGATTTAGCCTTTTCTTGTATATATTTCTTTCTTGTAATTGTTTGTGTTACATTTCTATAATTTATTAGAAATTGTGTGAATGTAAGTGTGGACGGATGGGTATGAGTATTGGTGTGGGTGTGAGTGTGAGTGTGAGTGTGAAGAGAAGATTCACACTCATAGCCACAGCCACACCTCATCCTAAGTGGTACCACTTACCACTTGCCAGTAAGTGATAAGTGGTGAAAATTATCATGCAAGAATAAATAATCAATGGTTAAAATAATCATTGATTAGTGCTATATCAATAATTTTTCGATGATCACAACACTTACCACTTACCTGGTAAATGGGACACCCCTAGCAGGCAACATATCCACCCTAGGTATATACGTGGACTACAGAAAAGCATACGATCTAGTGTGGCATATGGGACTTATTGTTAAACTAGCCAGCATGCAAATACCTACAGGACTACTAAAAGTTCTCTTCAACTGGTCAGTTGACAGAAGGGCGTATATAGCCTTTGGGAATAAAAAATCAGAAATATTTAAAACACACGTAGGTCTGCTGCAAGGAAGCGCACTAAGTCCATACATTTTTATAACCTATCATGCAGATGTGGTAAACAGTGTTGGTGCTTTTTCTACATATCTGTTCGTTGACGACCTTAGTACATTGAGAGTACCTACAATCCATAAAAACCAACAGAAGATGATCAAATTCATTAACTCAGCAGGATCGAAAATATGCCAGTCTATTTGAATGTTCCAACAGATGGAAACAGCCAATCAACATTTCAAAGACAGTGATTCAGATTTTTCACTCATCAGTTAAGTGGCCTTTAGTGGGGATTAAAATGAATAACTGTTTGCTAGAAACCGTAACATCGTTCCAATACCTAGGCTTCACATGGGCACATAAGATTTCTCTTAGACCTACAATAGACAAATGTCTGGAAGATATCCAGAAGTCATGTATTTAATTAATATGGCTGCAAAGAAACAAAAATATCGAGTTGGTCTACGTCTATTATATAGATGTCCCTTTATAGAAGCAAAAGACATATTTAATTTTACTAAAGAGAAGCCACTAGAGTTATATATAGCTAAATATATAGAGAAGCAACTAGCAAAAGCACATAGAGCGGAATTAGTTGTCTCACTTTTCAATGAAGATATCTTTCACTGAAATCACCTCTTGGAAGCCAAAAAAACGAAACAAACTTGGGATAGGACATCTTCCACGTTCGAAACGTAGAAAAAAGATGAAAGAACGACACGGATCACATCTTTTAATATAGCTAGCATTTATAGATCAATATAAATCTCAAATAAGGAACCACATGCTACGCATTGATGTTAGCATCGCAACAATATCCTAACATTTTGTTGTTTCTTTTCTTTGTCGTTTTTTATCTGCTCCAGAAAACAATTAGTGCTTTATGAAAAGGACATTAGTTTGCTAAGTAATAAGCTTCTTAATTGCAGCTTCATCAAATGGTCACATCTTATCATATCCACTATTGTAAGTGTTTCCGAGCGGAGCAATTAAATAAATGCAAAATAAAAGAAAATTCCTTGAATAAAAGATCCTGTAAAATCTGTTGATCACCATACAAAATCAATTTTAAATTTGAACGAACAAAATGAAAGTACTGATGAAACAACAACAACAACAACAACAACAACAACTAATACATTTGATTTAATATCGCCATCATCATCATCATTTAGACCTGTAGATTCATTAGAAGAGAATGATATACTTCGTCCATCTGCTTTAGAAGAAAAAAATCGATCAAAAAATGAAATTCATCAGATAACATATGCTAATCTTTCATCAAGTATCACTTTTACTGATGATAATGATGATATTTATGCTCAATCAAAATTACCTTCAGATTATCAAGGTCCTGATTTAACTATCAGAATACAGCATTACATTGACGACAATAATATTTCAAAGTATAATCCACATACAAGGTGTGGGTGTGGGTGGAGATATCGGTTTGGTGCGTGGTGTGTGGGTGTTGATGTAGCTGTGCCTTTAACCCACACCCAAATCTTCTCTTTATTTCTATTATTTAATGTATATGCAAGATTGAAAACAACGGAACTTTATTCAAAAACAATGGTATAATTGTGAGGTGGAACAAGATCAAAACCCCCACCGTTGAATATTGGAATAAGCGTTGTTTTGGGACCGCCTTTCACACGAGTTATTGTTAATATTTGTCGTTCATGAAAATTTTTACTGTTAAACGAAAGTTGTTTTGGTATCCATGTAAAACAATCAGTGCATTCAGCTGCTTCCCATTGAATACTTACCGTATCAGTTTCATTAATTCGATGTGGCGGACTAGAAAGCCAAACTTGAATTTTCACACTTTGATTTAAATCTATTTTGGATGTATTTGGATTATATAAAAGTCCAAGCATAACATCTCGACAAGTGAATGCCCAGTCTTTTATTATAGGATCAAAGTATTTGTCATCTGGTTTTCCTATTTTTATCATCAAATATTCTGTTGTGTATTGTTGGATATCCCATGGTGTACGGATAACTTGAGTTGATCTAACAGGAATATCAGTACCTTTCCGAAAATAAATTTCTTCACATGGGCACGCTTTCCCGAGAGGGTGACATGTTTTATTTGAATACCAATAATCTTCATAGACAGAAGATTTGTTTGAACGTATCATTTCATATTTAAAGTTTATAAAACTTTTTATTTCAAATGAACTTCCATTACTCCAATGTGCTGGAAATGCATTAAAATTACTTCCACCATATTTCCAATATGTTCCATATCTACAACCGGTATCGGGAAACTTGTCTTGTAACTGAACATAATATTTTGATTGTGGAGAATCAGGAATTGAATAAGGGAAGTTTTTCATCGCATATGCTGTTTCTGATGATTTTATACTCTCACTAGCTGATTTATAAGCTCTTTGATTTATTTCATCAATTGCATATAATGTTGAACCAGCAAAAAATAGAAGTTGCGGTGGAAAATATGGTTGAGTACAACGCCCCAAAACAATTAGTAATATAAATAATAGTAAAGAAAAATATGTTTTTATCATTTCGAGCTTGTGAAATAAATCATTCAAAATATATTTATCGATATATTTTTTTTCGTATGACTTAAAAAAAAGTCGCTATGTAATGATGAGTAGATTGAATACGATTACAATACTTTTTCGTTCTTCATTTAGTCAATAAGCTGTTTTTGCATACAGCATTATAACACCTGTGTTAGTCTCATCATAGATAATATCGGGCTCGTTCTTTTCTTTTACAATGAAGCCATAAATGGGAGCAAAAATTTAGAGCAATTTGTATTTTGTAAGCTATTGTGTTGAAAATAATATCTTGAAGACATTCGAATAATGATCTCTGTGGTTCTCGAGATGGATTACATTGATGAGATATGAATGTGCTCATATGTTTAACTATTTAACTGTTTTTTCACACAATCATTATACTCCATTGGAGAAAACTTTAGAGAACTGCCAGTATTTCATTAATTTTTTCTTATTACAATAATTTTAACAGTCTTCTATTTATCGGTCGGTGTAGAATTTGATGGACTACATTTTGGTAAAAATTTGTTTAAAAAAAATTTTTTAATAATTAATAATAATTAAGTGATGTTACTTATTAAAACAAAACAATCTTTTTCCTTTACAGTTTTTATATACATCATTCGACAGCAGTGGAAGCTGTGGAGTGTGTATTTGGGTGTGACTGTGGTTTGGATATGGGTTGGGATGTACATGTACCTCTTTCCTTTACACAAACCTACACATCCCACACCCACCCTTAGCAGCGGATGAGATTCTGAGAGCATATTATAGACGATCAGTAACTACTGTCTCATGTTTCTTCATAGATGGACCTGAAGATACAGGAAAAGCTCACCTGTATAACACTCTGTGCCATTTATTCAAGGGACAAGGTGTCCATGTTCTCACAGTTGCATGGACAGGGATTGCTGCCAATTTATTATCTAAAGGAAGAACGGCACATAGTCGTTTTAAGCTTCCTGTACCTCTCTTGAAGACGTTCACATCCAATATTCGACCGAACATCAAGGAAGTCGAGGTAATTAAAAAGATTAATGTATTTATTTGGGATGATACACCGATGGCCCCCATCGTGTGCTCTTAAAGCTGTTGATATATTACTTCGAGATGTAATGAATATCAATGCGCCTTTCAGAGGATAAATCATAGTGCTAGGGGGTGATTTTCGCCAAATTTTTCCAGTTATTCGATTTTCGAACAGATCACAACTCTCTGGAGGATGTTCCGACTTTGTGTGATAAAGTGATTCTCTGTCCCAAAAACGAGCATTCTCTTATCGTAAACGAACAATTACTTCCACGCTTACCAGGAATAGAAAAGATGTACACAAGTGTGGATGAAGCTGAATTTGAGGACGGTGAAGATATCATCAATTATCCTACAAAATTTTTGAATAGCTTCACACCCTCAGAAATGCCGTCTCATAAACTCAACCTGAAGATTGGTGCAATAGTTATGCTTCTTCACAATTTAGATGTGAATCGAGGACTTTGCAATAGAACTTGACTGATTGTCAGACATTTGCATAATCACACGATAGATTGTGAAGTTGCGACAGGATCTAACAAAGGAAACTGAACTTTGACACCAAGGATTTGTTTAATATCTTCCAATATATTTTTGCCTCTTAGCTACGCAGATATCAGTTTTCGATTCGCCTATAATTTGCAATGACTGTCAACAAATCACAAGGATAAACCTTCAATCGATTAGGGCTACTACTACCACAACCAGTCTGCAACCATGGTCAACTTTACGTTACTTTTTCACGAGTCCGCTCACTTGCATCTGTCCGCGTGCATGTCATACATGAAAACGAAAACGGTAAAGCAAACACAACCAGAAATATAGTTTTTCGCGAAGTTTTGTAAGTATTGTACATAAGCCCTCTCTTTATCCCACGTACGTATTGTATGCATCGTAAACATTTTTTCATAAAATAAAAACAAAAGATATTGAAGCGCTTCATCAAAGTGCACCTCAGACTTCATTTGATTTTGAACACATTCATTTCGTAGCTCTAAACCATTGGGTTGGTGCAAAGTCTTGGTCGATTTTTTCCTTTTCAATTTTTTAAAATTTTATCAGAACAACATATCATCAATCGACAACATATGCACCATTGTTGTCCACAACATACTTCCCTCTCTTAGGCAAATTTACAATACCATCTTCAAAGAATTTCTTAGACAAAGACTCAAAGAAAGTTTCGTCGTCCGATTTTAAGAGATTCTAATCATCGAAGTGTTTTTTGCGCAGATGGTTGCGCCATGAGCGAAACAATGATAATCGGAAGGTGCTAAGTCCGGCGAATATGGTGAATGGGTTATGAAATTCCATCCCAATTCCTTCAGCTTCTGACGGATGACCTTGACCACATGAGGTCTGGGGTTGTCATGGAGCAACCAAATTGTGTGCTGTTCTGGACGCTTTGCTTGCAGGGCAGCCTTCGAATTTTGGAGTTGTTTGCAGTACAGTTCGGAATCAATTGCAGTGTCAGGAGGAAGAAACTCGTGGTAGATTATGCCTTGAAAATCCCACCAGATTGATAGCATCACCTTTTTCGAATGCAGGTCGCTTTTCGACTATAGTTGCGGCAAATCTCCACGATTGACCCAGTGAAGCTTGCGTGTATGGTTAACATAAAGGATTCACTTCTTATCGCCAGTAATGATTTGCTGGAGAAACCTCTGACGGTTGCACTTCGACAACAAAGAGTTGCAGATGGTGAAGCTCTGTCGGATGTTGTCCAGCGTCAATTGGTGCGAAATCCATGATCAAAGTTTGCTGACTTTACCCATTCGCTGCAGGTGGTGGTCAATGGTGGAATGGCTGCAGCCGAGCATTGTTGACAACTCATGGGTGATAAGGCGTGAATTGTCTTCTACCAATGCTTGTAATCGTTTGACATCACACTTGAAGGACTCTTCGAACCTAGGTTGATCTTCCAGTGATATATCGCCTTCTCGAAATCTTTTGAACCAGTGACGACATGTACGTTCAGCAACTGTGTCTTCTCCAAGGGCGCCACAAATATTTTTAGCAGCGGCGCTTGCATTTTTGTCGAGTGGAAACTCATACAAAATACAGTGCCCAACATGAATAGAAATCTCAGACATTTTTAATCTAAAACATTGATAGTCGAGAATATTTATAAACGTCATTGTATAGCATTTGTTAACGGGTGATATCGGTTTAACTGATCGAAAACAAACGTTTGTTTTATTTTCCAAACGGTCGCAGAATATATAGTGAACAAGTTAAGAAAAAAACCAACGGTAATGGGAAAGAAATATGAACGAGAGGGGGGACATACCAGAACCACATCAAGAGAAGAGAAATATTCAAGTGACAGAAAGAAAAGGAAAAATATATATATATATGTATGTGTTATCTATACGATAGTAGAATACAAGAAAGAAAATGAAGAAATATCCAACACAAGTGAATCACACTATAACAAGCACTGATCAAGCATTATGATATATCCACAAGACACATATTCATAATATGGGCAGATGATTTTGAAAGATTTTCAGAAAAATCAGTCAAGACTTCTGCATTAACCCAATAGATTTGCCTAAGGGATGGAAGTACGTTGTAGATAACAATGGTACATACGTTGTTGATTGATGGTATTTTGTTCTAATAAAATTTTAAAAAATTGAAAAGAAAAATAATTGGCCAAGACTTTTGCACCAACCAAATGCATATCATAATAGAAATTATAATCGTAAAAAGACTGCATTTAGAAAAAATACGAATTTATAACTGTCAAAGAAATTCTACAATATCTTAGCATAATCGAAATTTGGATCCCAAGAATTTTCATGTATTATTTTTCTCATTAAATACCTAATTTTATGGTCGCTTTCAAT